GAGGAAAGAATGAAGGAAGGAAAGAGGGAAAGAAGGAGGGAGGGAAAGAAGGAAGGAGGGAAAGAGGGAAAGAATGAAGGAAGGAGGGAAATGAGGAAAAATGAAGGAAGGAAAGAGGGAAAGAAGGAAGGAAGGAGGGAAGAAGGAAGGAGGGAAATGAGGAAGGAAGGAGGGAAATGTGGAAGGAAAAAAAGGAAGGAGGAAAAGAAGGAAGGAGGGAAGGAAGGATGGAGGAAAGAAGGAAGGAGGTAAATGTGGAAGGAAGGAAGGAGGGAAAGAAAGGGAGGGAAAGAAAAAGGAAGGAAAGAAAGAAGGAAGGAGGGAAAGAAGGAAGGAAGGAGGGAAAGAAGGAAATAAGGAAGGAGGGAGAGAAGAAAGGAGAGCTTCTTGTCTCTCGTCGTATATTCCAGAAATGAGCTCTGACGTTTTTTCCCTGGATGTTCCTGCCCACCTGGGAGTTTTGTGTGTTCATCACTGACATCTCAGCCACATGTAATCAGGTGCAGTTAGCTAGCCCTCCCACTAGGTGGCTCTGTCCTGGAAGAGAGTGTAGTTACAGAGAATGGTGTAATGAGGTGCTAGGTCCCCTTTAGCTAGAGTCCTCCTGTGGTCATACAATGGGTGAGTCAGTACCCACATACTGTATATGCCAGGTTGGGAGGAGCCATAGTGCCGTTGGGCATGGGAGCCAGAGACCCCACCATTTGGCAAATGTAGTCAGCAAGTGGAGGTGCTGGACAGGGCTGGAGAGCAGGCAGAGGTAGACCTGCACCCAAAACAGCCCAGTGTAGACCTCCAGACCCTTATGGTGGTGGAGGGTATAGGGCAGGTTGTAAAAGGCCTTTTTGGCTTTGGACTGAGGCTATCCCCATTGGAGGCCCTGTGAAAGATGTACCCAGCTAGAGGTGTCTGCAGTGGTCCTGTCTGAGAGGGAATATCTACAAGGAACAGCGTGTGGACGCAGACAGCCCAAGGCGAACCAGAACCTCTGTGTGAGTACTAATGACCCTGGGAGTAGAAATATTGAGCTAGGGAAAATGGCTCACTATATGTGCTGCTGGATGCTTTCACATGTGACTTCTGTGGATCGTCCACTATATGTGATTGACAATGTCAAGTGACCCGCTATAGTATGTCGATGTGATGTGACCGTATTTGCCATCTTTCAACAACCATCAGTAAAGTGTATCAATGCTACTTCTGTGCGAATGTTCCTTTCATTGGGACATAAAGGTTAATGGCTTGGAATTTTGTGAGGATGCCTCTGGCATAGAGAGGGCACAGGATGGTGCAGGGTTTAAAGCCTCAAGCAGGTGGGTTGTTGTTCTGGAAGGGAAGAAGTGGGGCATGGACTTGTGCTCTTGGTGCCCCCTATATAGCCATTCACAAGCCCCCTTACACACTGGTACACTATCCTGCACCAGCTTGCCTCTCCTCCTTGAATATTGCTGGATGGTGTAAGTGGTTTAATCAGTAATTATAATAAAGTATAGTGGAGAGCACTATGGTTTCCTGATGTTTTACTGAGAAGATGGCTGTTGCGGAATCTGGTCCTGGAAAGGAATACTGAGAGTGATTGGGAGCTATCTGCCCTGCAGTAGGAGAAACACTAGAGCTGTGTATGATCTCTGGAGATGTGCACAATGCAAACATTTTAGAAATTCATTTAGAATATTTGTTATTTTCAAATAGATTTGAATTTCAAAATTTGAATTTCGGTTGATGGCTATATTCGTTCTATTTTATTCCATTCTAATCTATTCTATTTTTTTTTCTATTCTATTTTATTCTATTCTTTTATTTTCTATTCTTTTTTATTCAATTCTATTCTTTTCCATTCTATTCTAGTCGTTTCTATTCTTCTATGTTCTATTCTTTTTTATTCGATTCTATTCTATCCTTTTATATCCTTCCATATTCTCTTAGATTCTCTTAGACTTCTCCAGAGCTTCCCTCATCCTCTGGAACTCTCTACCTCAATTTATCAGACTATCGCCTACTCTGCTCACTTTTAGGCGATCTCTGAAAACCTATCTCTTCAGGGAAGTCTATCCTGCCCTCAGCTAATACTGGAATCTTCTACTCTTCCAACCAGTCCATCCCCCACAGTTACTACCTTTTGTACCACTAGCTCCTCCCTCCTAGATTGTAAGCTCCCAGGATCAGGGCCCTCCTATCCTTCTTGTATTGAACTGTATTGTTGCTGTATTGTCTCCCGTTATATTGTAAAGCGCTGAGCAAACTGTTGGCGCCATATAAATCCGGTATTATAATAATAATTATAATTGTAAGCTCCCAGGATCAGGGCCCTCTGTTTCCTCTTGTACCAAATTGTATTGTAACTGTTATGTCTACTTTCGTTTTGTAAGCGCTGTGCAAACTGTTGGCGTTTATATAAATCCTGTATAATAATAATAATATTCTATTGTATTCTATTCTATTCTATTCTTTTTTATTCTATGAAGCAAACTGAGTAGAAATCATCTCATTTCACTATAATACCTTACTGTATGTATTGTAATATGTTTCCATTTTCGAATTCAAACTAATTTTCAAATTCAAATTTGGATAATGCATTATAATTTATTTCTCATTCGCTGAAACTCGTTACTATCGTGATTCAGAAATTCGGACAAATCCCAATCCCCAAATCACGATGATTTAGTCCGGATTTCAATTCGTAACAAAACAAATGTCACATGTCTAAAGACCTCCTATGATTTAGAGGTCCAACTATAAGAGTTTAAAATTTCAGAAAAAGAACAGTGTGGTGGGGGCCCCATCCATACCAGGCCTTGTGGGTCTGGTATGGATTTTAAAGGGAATCGCACACCAAAATTTTTTTTAAATGGCGTGCCCCCCCCAGACCGTTATCCGAGCATGCATCCCAGCAGGCTAGAAATGGAGGGGGATGAGCAAATGCCCCCTTCCCCCTGAACCATACCTGGCCATATACCCTCGAAGCCCACCGATGTCTGACGCGTAAACATGGACTTGTCAAAAGCTGTTGTTGTGTTTTTATGAACTTTGACTTTTTCTTTGGTGAATGAGTAGGGGCAGGGGCGGACTGACCATTTGGAAACTCGGGCACTGCCCGAAGGCCCGGGGTCAGTAGGGGGCCCATGAAATGCCCCTGGTACCTTTTTCATAGGCTTTTTTGAGTTTGGGCAAGGACACAGGGGCCCCATGATCCTCTATTGCCCGGGGGCCCCAAGAGTTGTCAGTCCGCCCCTGAGTAGGGGTACTATGTACCTCATACACATTCACATGGGCGGGAGATCTGGGGGCCCTGCAGACCCCCACAACTACCGCCCAGCCCCCCTGCCCCAAAGCACCCCCCCATGTTGAAGGCATGTGGCCTGGTATGGTTCTGGAGGGGGGAATTGCTCATCCGATCTGAGCATGAAGACCGACAGGTCAGGAAAGAGGGTTTCCTGGCTTGTTGGGCTTCATGCTCAAATCGTTCCAATCGTTACGAAAATTTGGAATTTGTTGGAAAATGAATTAACGAAATGAAACGAATTTCAACTAAATTAGTTACTATTGTCATTCGGAGATTCGGATACATCCAAAAAGCCAAAAATGTGTCCAAATTCAGATGCAGACAAATTGCACACGTCTATATACCAGCATTTGGCCTCTCTTTGGACTCCCAAGTCCTACTGAGATCTGGTTGCCTTTCAGGCAAAGCAGATCCATCATGCAGGTCACTGTACTTGCTGTAACTTACTAACCTCTCTAATCCCTTTTTTTTTCTAGACAAGCCTTCAGGAATCTGAGACACAAAAAATCCAAGGAGACAAATAATGGAGTCTTTCCTTCAGGTAAGCAAATATATATCATGCACATAAAGACTTATTTCTGCCAAACTATATCCTTTTGGATCAAGCGGGTCAAATATTCTTTCAGGTTTTTCCACAGTGAGAGTTTCCCTCACTTCCTGTCCCTGTGACAACTGTAGAAGAAATGCAGAGAGCGGTTGTCAATCGGGACAGGAAGTCACAGATAGCAATAAAAAAAAAATTCAGAAGATCAAATCAAAGCTAGTCCTAGATGGATTGAAATGTGGCCAGTTCAGTGGGGACTGATGAATTTCCATCAGTGTGCAGCCATCCCTGCTGAACAGAACTTGACCGTTTAATCAACTTCTGTCAAAGGGGCAAGCTGGAAAACCTGCCTGTCTGTGGGGACCGCTATCAAAATATAATATCCCGGAGGGAGGGGAGGATTTCTTCATTCACCTCGCTTGTGTTTATCTTTTTTTCTTTGGCCCGCTTCAGGCTTTTAGGCACATCTGAAGATCACAACTTTGGTTAGTTTTTCACACAAAAACTTTTTAACTTTTGGTCACATTTTAACCACTTCAAGTCCGAACACTTTCACCCCCTTCCTGTCCAGGCCAATTTCCAGCTTTCAACGCTATCACACTTTGAATGACAATTGTGCGGTCATGCAACACTGTACCCATATGAATTTTTTTTTAGCATTTTTTTGAGACAGATAAAACTTTATTTTGGTCGTATTTATTCACCACTGGGATTTTTATTTTTTTTGCTATATAAATGAAAAATGTCCAAACATTTTGGAATAAAGTGTTTTTCTTATAAAATTTTGCAAATAAATAATCGTTCTTCATACATTTTGGCCAAAATTTATTCAGTTATCTTTTTAGTAAAAAAAAAAAAAAAAACCCAAATTAGTTTATAACCAAAAATTATACTTTTTCAAAATGTGTTTTTACATTTTTTTTATTTTTTCATATTTATATTTATGTTTTTTTTTTTTAACATACTGTCACCCTCGCAGTACAGTGTGACACTGTACTACTTGTGGGGGGTGATGAAGATTTATTTTTTTTTACACTGATTGCTTTTACACTCATAAAGGCTGTAAAAGCAATCATTTCTCCTCTCTGGCTGCATTCCTGCAGCCATTGAGAAATACTGTGAGAGCTGTGATTGGTTACAGCTTGTCACATGGTACAAGGCTGTTGTGAATAGCCTTGTACCATGTGACAAGCTGTAATCATTCACAGATTTCACTAGTAGTAAGCAATGATGTCAGGAAATGACATCTTGCTAACTAATATTCATGTGAACACTGATCGGCCAATCAGTGATCACATGATTGGAACCTCACACAACGGGCACCGGATTGCGGTGCCGCGCGCTTCCAGGGAGCATGCACAGGCTGCAAATGTGAGCGCCGTTTATGAACGGCAACCAGCTAATGCACTGCTCTGGCCTTTTATGTACATGGGCCAGACAGGAAGTGGTTTAAAATGACACCATAATTATGATTTTGATACAAAGCATGGCAAGTTATTTTTCAAATGAAATAAAGGCTTTTTTATTACCTTGTACTCTGTAACGTTATCTCTCTATCTCCCGTCTGATCGATGTTTATAAACAATGTTACTTTGTATCTCTCTATCTCCCGTCTGATCGATGTTTATAAACAATGTTACTTTGTATCTCTCTATCTCCCGTCTGATCGATGTTTATAAACAATGTTACTTTGTATCTTTCTATCTCCGTCTGATCGATGTTTATAAACAATGTTACTTTGTATCTCTCTATCTCCCATCTGATCGATGTTTATAAACAATGATACTTTGTATCTCTATCCCCGTCTGATCGATGTTTTTATAAACAATGTTACTTTGTATCTCTCTATCTATCTTCCGTCTGATCGATGTTTATAAACAATGTTACTTTGTATCTCTCCATCTCCCGTCTGATCGATGTTTATAAACAATGTTACTTTGTATCTTTCTATCTTCCATCTGATCGATGTTTATAAACAATGTTACTTTGTATCCTCTATCTCCGTCTGATCGATGTTTATAAACAATGTTACTTTGTATCTCTCTATCTCCCGTCTGATCGATGTTTATAAACAATGTTACTTTGTATCTCTCTATCTCCCGTCTGATCAATGTTTATAAACAACGTTACTTTGTATCTCTCTATCTCCCATCTGATCGATGTTTATAAACAACGTTACTTTGTATCTTTCTATCTTCCATCTGATCAATGTTTATAAACAATGTTACTTTGTATCCTCTATCTCCCGTCTGATCGATGTTTATAAACAATATTACTTTGTATCTCTCTATCTCCCGTCTGATCGATGTTTATAAACAATGTTGCTTTGTATCTCTCTATCTCCGTCTGATCGATGTTTATATACAATGTTACTTTGTATCTCTCCATCTCCCGTTGATCGATGTTTATAAACAATGTTACTTTGTATCTCTCCATCTCCCATCTGATCAATATTTATAAACAATGTTATCGCTATCTCCCATCTGATCGATGTTTGTATCTCTTGATCTGTGGCTATAATTTTGACTGTCTACATTTAAATCATAAAACTCAGGTAAATCAATATCCTGAGTTGCCAGCAGCTCTCATTGGGCCTTACTGATAACCTCCATGCCCTGCTGTGTCCTGTAATGAAGCGGTCAGGTTGGAAGCACAGGGCTGCACTACACAGGACTGCATAGGAATTCTTCTCCTGGCTTTCACTGCATGACTTTGGGAGCCACACATGGTTTCTTCCCTGCACACCCTGCATCCCCCCCCCCCCCATAACTCCACATTCTCATCCCCATACTCCACACCCTGCACCCCCCCCATGTTCTGCATCCCCCATTACTCCACACCCTGCACCCCCCATTACTCCCACACCCTGCACCTCCCATTACTCCACCACCCTGCACCTCCCACCACCCTGCCCCCCCCATTACTCCACATTCTGCATCCCCATTTCCACACTGCACCCCCCATTACACCCTGCACTGCATACTCCCCCTCCACACCCCCCCATTTACTCCACATTCTGCATCCCCCATTACTCCACACCCTGCACCATTACTCTCCCATTACTCCACACCACCCTGCACCCCCATTACTACTCCACATGCACCCCCCATTGCATCGGCCTCCACATTCTGCATCCCCCATTACTCCACCCACTGCACACCCTGCACCCCCCATTACTCCACACCCCCTGCCCCCCATTACTCCACATTCTGCATCCCCCATTACTCCACACCCTGCACCCCCCATTACTCCACACCCTGCACCCCCCACCCTGCATCCCCCATTACTCCCATTACTCCACACCCTGCATCCCCCATTACTCCACATTCTGCATCCCCCATTACTCCACACCCTGCACCTCCCATTACTCCACACCCCTGCACCTCCCATTACTCCACATCCGGCACCCCCCATTACTCCACATTCTGCATTCCCCATTACTTCACACCCTGCACCCCCCATTACTCCACATCCGGCACCCCCCATTACTCCACATTCTGCATCTCCCATTACTCCACATTCTGCTTTCTCATTACCTCACACCCTGCACCCCCAATTATTGCACATTCTGCTTTCTCATTACCCCACACCCCCTTCACCCCCCCCCCCCCCCCATTATTACACACCCTGCAACCCCATTATTACACACAGTGCATCCCTCATTACTCCATACACTGCATTCCCTCTTACTGCACACAGTGCATCCCCCCAGAGTACTCCACATTCTGAACTCCTTATTACACCTTACTCTGCAATGTCCATTACTTCACATCCTGCATCTTCCATTTCTCCACACACTGCATTCCCCGTTACTCTTCATTCTGTATCCCCCACTATGTCACATTCTGCATCCCCCATTACCTCAAACACTGCATCCACCATTACTCCATATACTGCACCCCCCATTATTCCACATACTGTATCTTCCATATCCCCCATTGCCCCATACTCTGCATCCCTCATGACTCTGTACTCTGCACCCCCCTATTACACCTCACTCTGCACTCCCTGCCAGCCCTATTTCCCTGAACTCTGCTCTCCCTGCAAGCTCTATTTCCCTGCACTCTGGACCCCCTAAAAGCCCCATTTCCCTGCACTCTACACCCCCCAAAAGCCCTTTTTTTCCCATTTCCCTGCACTTTGCACCCCAGCAAGCCCCATTTCTTTGCACTCTGCACCCCTGCAATCTCCATTTCCCTGCATTCTGTGCCCCCTGGAAGCCCCATTTCCCTGCACTCTGTGCCCCTAAAAGCCCTATTTGCCTGCACTCTGCATCCCCTGCAAGCCCCATTTCCCTGCAGTCTGCACTCCCTGCAAACCCCATTTATCCGCACTCTGCACTCCCTGTAATCCCCATTTTCCTGTACTCTTCACTTCCTGTAATAACCATTTCCCTGCACTCTGCACCCCCTGCAATTTCCATTTCCCTGTACTCTGCACCCCAGAAAGCCCCATTTCCCTATACTCTGCACCCCCTGCAATTTCCGTTTCCCTGCACTCTGCACCCCAGAAAGCCCCATTTCCCTGTACTCTGCGCCCCCTGCAATCCCCATTTCCCTGCAATCTGCACCCCCTGCAAGCCCCATTTCCCTGCACTTTGCACCCCCTGCAAACCCCATTTCCCATCACTCTGCACCCCCTGCAAGCCCCATTTCCCTGCACTTTGCACCCCCTGCAAACCCCATTTCCCATCACTCTGCACCCCCTGCAATCCCCATTTCCCTGCACTCTGCATTCCCTGCATCCTCCTTTTCCCTGCACTCTGTACCCACCTGCATCCTCCAATACATCTCCCCCTACATCCCCCTGACACACTCAGCACTTTTTGGTGGCTCTTCCCCTCTTTGGGATTTAGAGTGAAGCTCCACCTGGAGTGTGCTCACTGGCCCTCAGGGCCCCTTTTATAGCATTATCATTACACCACCTGCATGGCTCACAGCAGATCCTCCAATGTTTCAATGCAGAAAACTCCTCTACCTGCTGAGTGTGGGGGATTTGAGAGTGTTGTATTCAGGGATGAAAAGCAAAGAAAAAGGGGACCCAGGTTTAGGAAGTTGATGGACTGTGAGCTGCCCACCTGTAGCCCCTGCTGACCTGATGGGGCCTAATAAGAGGGGGCTGCCTGTACCCCTCAACAGCACTGAGATGGGAATAATTGAGGAGAAAATGTGAAAGCAGAATTTTATGGAAAAAAATATTAACATTGCAAACAAAATGTCATCCGGATTGGAGTTTAGACCTACTTTACGGGGCAGTGAATCTGACATTCACCAAATGTGAATTTTAAGGGGCATGTGTTTTAAATGACAGTGATTGATTCCCCACCCCTGAATGTTTGCTGAAAGTCACATTTACTGCTTTATAAATATGTCTCTTATATGTATCTCCTAATCTATTTAATCTATTATCTATTTAACATGCATTGAAGTCAAGCCTTGGCTAGCAATCAATATCCGCATTCATTGCAGCAATAAGTCATCCATTCAGCAGAAAAGAATAGCGGCTCAGACATCTTCATTTGTAACTGTCAGCGGAAAGAATAGAGAGCGCAGATGACAAATCAAATAGCTCTGATGTATTCCGCCCACCTATGTAAGCATTGTAATGGAACCTTACCAAGGAGCATTGCTCATTGTCTAGGGACCTCGCCTAATCACCTGACACTGTGCCCTCTAGTGACGAGATGATCTCATTACAGGCTCGTTAGGCTGGCACATGTCGCATTCACTGTGCGTCTCGCCGGCGATCATTAATCTCGAAAAACAATTTTTCCAGTGGGTGTGATGAGAACCTGGAAAACTTTGCAGAAACAAAAGACTCCCTCTCTGTCTTTCTCTCTCTCTCTCTCTCTTTTTTTTTTTTTTTAACTTGGCCGCTTGTGGCTGAACAAGCAGAGGCAGGAAGAGCTGAAAGGGAAATTGATCTGTATATACAAGTTCTATGTAAACTACAAGAAATGCACCAGAGTTTATCGTTTGTACCAGGGGCGGACTGACAACTCATGGGGCCCCAGGGCAATAGGGGATCATGGGGCCCCTGCGTCCTTACCCAAACTCAAAAAAGCCTATGAAAAGGGTACCAGGGGCATCTCATGGGGCCCCCTACTGATCCTGGGCCCTCGGGCAGTGCCCGAGTTTCCAAATGGTCAGTCCGCCCCTGGTTTGTACTCAGAGACATTAGAAGGAAACAGTGGACATCTGTCATGATAGCCCTTTAATTAGTCTGCTGATGGAGAGCTGGACCAAAAGCAAGGAGGATCTGATTTTAGAGAAAGTCCTCTGTTGGCCAGGTTCTGTTACTGAAAAGACAGTTGAGCCGTGAGCTTCTTTTAACCACTTGAAGTTCAGGTCATTTAAATGCGGCCTATGGGTGGCAAGAGGTCCCCCAGTCTGCCCTGACATCGAGGAGAGGATCTGTGGCCTTCAAGTCTTCCCAACTGGGGGGTCTCTCGT